TAAAAAGGACCCTGTCCCATAACCTGCCATATTCAGGGTTGCAGAAATAGAAGTTTTATGTCCACTGTCATCTGTAGGGTGTCAAAAAAAATGTGGGAATGTTGCATGTGATCACATGACAGATGGGAACTCCATTCCTCTTTTTGCCTGTGTGCAATGTGTGTGCTGCACAGGGGCTTCGACTGCTGTTATAGCCATTTTGATTGCTCTGCAGGCCCCCATGTTTACAAAGTCTTAAAACTTTTATTGGGAATATCAAGAGCATTAACTGAAGTTTTTTTTAATTTCATGAAAATTGTTAATGGAACTGAACATAGTGGAGAACTTACATAAATTATATTTTATAATTTTATTCTACTAGTTTCTAGTTTTCATCCTACCAAGACTACCGATATCCTTGGGAATGTGTCTCCTATCATGACATTCAAAAGCCATGTGTGACCTTCAGCCTAGAAAGTTGTTTTTGTGGATGATTGCAATGCATTGTATAAACGGTAATTTATAATTACCATTTCCCCAAATAATCCAGTTCACAATTTAAACAAATTTAATAACACATTTATAAGTAAAATTGAAAATTCACATACTTGATAAAATATTTATTATGAAAACTGAATTGTAACTGTACAATTTGATATGAATTACATACAGTACAATGAAAACCAAAATATTGCATATAATAAATTATAATGTTGCCAAAATATAAATTGTATACAACCAGCATCTCAATCCATGAGTCCAGATAGTCTTAAACTAAGAGGCTAACTTGCATTCTCAACATTCAGCAATGTGATGTAGGTCCTGGGAACAATTATAGCTACAGTGTTTTTAACTTCTGAGAGAGTATATGGCTGAAACAACTTAATAACGTGCCTGTAGCATATGGCTAAATATACTTTTAGCAAAGTGAATATTTACAATACAGATACAAGAAAAACAAAATAATCCTGAACAAAGCAAAGCAAGATATGACAATGCTGAACAACGAAGTTGTTCTACAAGAAACTGCACACATTATCAGGCCACAGAATATAATTACATTCTTCATAGTCAGTCATCTTTCTGAAGTAATGATTAAAACCCATGGCCAGTATTGTGTAAATCATTTTGTTAAGGCATATATACAATAAGTTGAGCCATGAAATCTTCAGTTTGAATGGCTGATTCCTTATGGGCCTTTAATATGTTAATATTTTATTAGGCACTTCTGCCGGAAGGAAGGAAGGAAAGAAGGAAGGAAGGATTAAAGCTAAGGTTCCACAAGAGGCAACATCTGTAAATAGGACAGATGAAACTGAGAAAAGCTACATGGTATGCAAGTATATATATACGTGTGTACAACATAAAAACACACTGGCAATTTGCACATGTGATGTTTGCTAAGGTTCAGCTATGCCTCAGTTTGCATTATATGAGGCCCTCCTCATATAAGTTTGCCTTCTATATACTATGTAGGTAAAAGAAAATCATGGTGACATTGTAGCCTATGCACAGAGTGTAAGTCATGAAAAGCAGAAGAGGGTCACTTTTGCACATGGTCCATATAGATTATTTAGAGGTCCAGGTAAATGGTCCATGTCCACTTTAAATCAGAAATGTAACACAGGATCACACTCAGAAAGAAATCTTGGCCCTACTGGATCTAAGGCAAAGAAAAAGCTGAATCAGCCACACACTTCATGTAGTTTTGTGCATTAGGGTGAGTTGGAAGCTACTTGAAACCAATAAGATCAATTGTTGCAATGGCCATCTTAAGGTAAATTATGGCAATAAGACCTAGCAGTAATGATAGCTAAAGTATGCATTCAAGATATACTTTTATATAAAACTCACTAAAGCTGCCTTTTCCCAAAATAATGCAAGCCAAAAAAATGAATGCATGTGGATTCAACATGTGTAGCTATAATGTACATCCATCCTATCTCTTCAAATAATATAGAGAAGGAGTATTTTTCTCCCCTTTCACTAAGAGCTGTATCTGTTTCCTGGCATCTGAGGGTCACAGGGAATGTGATAGTAGTGCGGGGACAACAGCGGAGTCTGTAAGAAATGTTCAGCCCTTTTTCAAATGGGGAGGATGGTAATCCTGGAAGGGAGCATTGCAGAAGTGGTACAAGAGCCTCCCAAAGCATTAATACGTCTATTTTAAAACTTAACTTGGTAGATTATCAAAAGTGAATTTCAAAGGTAGGGGTCCTTCTAGGTGGCTGCAAAAATAGGATGGGAATTATATACTGCCTTAAGGTTGTCTATCACTGATACAAAAGTATATTTTAATTACCGGTAATGGCTAAAACTTTAAGTGACAAAAATACTGTCTATGAAATATAGCAATGGAGCAAAGTACCTTCATTTTATTTTAGAGTGGCATAAAAATTAAATGGCTTCAGGACAACAGAAAATATTGGCAATTTTGGCATTCTAAAATAAAAGGTGTTTTAGGTTCACTCATTTAGAGCCAATTCTGCTAAATATTTTCACATTAATGTACAACATGTTGCTAGCCACAGAATGAGGCTAGTCTTGCAGATATGATTATCTTAGGTCTAATAACTTGTGATTTTTATTCTTTGCAGAACTTTAAAAAGGTGATAATGAAACTATTGATCTTGCTACATTTTACAAATACATTTTAATATGAAATATTAATCTGAATTACTGTATAATTTATGTACACAAATATCTAACACTATAATTGACTACTACATCAATTTTCCAGGAGGACATTTTTTAATACAATCACATTTATTTTCAGAATAAGCATACTTGTTTCTAGTTATCCTAAGAAAACATCACATAACTTAAATTTACTTAATAGCAGAAACTGAAATTAGGTTTTAGTTTCTGAATTATCAAGTTGATGAAATGACTTGAGGGTTTTATTTTTTTGGCATGTGAAAAAAAAAATCCCTGCATTGACAAAAAGCCAGTTTCATCACTGAGATGAATTTTTTTAAAATGTGCAAAATAAATAATGACAATACATTGAATATGATTTAACAAAGGAAATAAAAACAACTTCTATGTAAACTTATAATCGAATATAGCCCACAAAATACTATAGAGACCATATTGGTGGAAGTCCGTGCAGTTGTCAAACCTGGGCTGATCAGTCAGTAAATTACCCACAAAGATAAATACAGCCTATAAAATGTTTATGTTATGATACCATACAATATGCAATTAACTGGATGCCTTCTCTCCATAACAATTTAGTTCTTTAGCTATACTAAAACTGCTTTTTTCGCTTGGTTCATAATTATACAAACATGATAGAATATAAAAGTGCCTTCCCATAAGAATTACCACTCTATTCAAAGTATCCCCAGACTGGCTTATATTGTTGTTCTAATTGTCACTCATGAAAAAAATATTAGACCCTATAGATAAGATGGTGAGTTTGTTTGGACCTAGACATTTGAATTTCAAACACTGAAAATTTCAAGCTTTTCAAAGTTTTCTGGGAATGTAACAGCCTATGCAAGCGCATGATTCTATCCAGAATTTTATAGATTCATTATGGGGCTGTTTAAGCATTGTTTGTGCATTCATCTTTTTAGGTCTGACATAAATTCAGTGCTAACAGGAGAAAAAAAGCTTCCTAATCAGCTCATCTCCTCCCAAAATGTTGGAAATTAATGGTTCTACATTACCACTCCAATTACTGGGTGCTGGAAAATCTGACATAACCATCTAGACCAGGGGTGTCAAACTCAAGGCCCGGGGGCTGGATCTGGCCCGCAGGGTGCTTAGAACTGGACCAAAGGGCTGCCCTGAAAATAGCAAAGGACTGGCCCGTGGTGCCTCTGCCAGTGAAAATGGAGTCCACGAGGGCTGTGTGTGGGGCCCCCAAGCTCTCTTTTTTTTCTGGCAGAGGGTTGTAGAAGGCCATTGCAGCTGAAAATGGAGCTCAGGAGCCAATTTTTGCTGGCAGAGTGCTTGGGCCGTCACAGGCGCCCCTGACACAAGTGATGTCATGCTGGCCAGGCCCACCCCAGCCCCCTGAGGTCAAACACAACCCTGAAGCGGCCCTCAATGAAATCGAGCTTGACACCCCTGATCTAGACTCAATGTCCAATGTCAGGTCTCCAGAATAGCATTGGAAGAATGAAAACCAGGAATAATCCAGAAGGCTTTACTGCATGTAAAAATCTGTTTTTAGGGATATTTTGGCAAACAAGAAAACATTTGTGTTTTATAACTTGAAAAGTGAAAATGTATATTTGATTGTAAATAATGTTAATTATAATGAATGTATAATTATGATCCAGTGACTGCAAATATAATGATTGGAAAGATTAGACTGAATTTTGATCTTCACAGGTCCAGATTACAGTATTAAAGGAAAACTCTAGCAAGTCTTATTTTATCAATAGAAGAATTCCAAAAACTTACAATAGTGCTTGTGCATGTATTATTTCTTGAAACAGTTTCAGTATAATGTTTATTTAGAGGGACAGTTTTTCCATTTATAAAGGTAAGAGTTAGATTCCAGAAAAAATATTGACATATTTATCAATTTAATCAGCCTTTCCTTAACATTTTTAATGTGCTTTGGTAACATTAAAATAAACTCAGACCATAAGAAAAAGATTTTTTTAAAAAAACAGTGTTGACAACATGATGGACAATTCAAATTCAAATTCTCCATGCTAGTGATGACACGTGCAAAATAAGTTGGCTAAAAATGGTAGAACTGAGAAGTCAAGC